TAAAAGAAAAGAAGTTAAGAGAAAGAAAATATGGAACTTAGACGTACATTTTCTGGAACGTTGATGACAGGTAGAGCTATCGGCGAATCAGATAATTTGTTGAGAAAAATGTCGAATCGGTTGAAAATTTAATCTCTCTCTTCAAAATTCAAAAGAAATCATTTTTACTGAATTTTTATACAATTTATTACATTCTTGCTACTAGTCATTCCAAATGCATAAGTGCTCGTCCACCATTTCTCTTTTTCTTTTATTCTCGAATGACTTCTACTATATAATACCTAAATGTAGAAAAAGAATGTCGTAGACCATATAAATTATAAGCTGTGTGTTTTTCTCTTACTCACGATTCATATGAGTTGATTCTGCTAATATTTCTCTAAACAAATAGGTAACATTACAACATATACTAATAAAAATAATAAAATGTCTACTCTGATAAAATAACGAAACGAGTGACCGTTCAAGTTTCGATTATTTATTTATTTATTATATGAAGAATTATTATTCTGTTATTAATGTATGAAATATATTTTGGATAAATTTTTTAATAAAAAACCGATGGCAGTTAATTCGTTTCCAAATTCAACAGTCGGTACACGTTTTACAGATGAATATGATATGAAAGAAGAACTTGGAAAGTGAGTGACCGCTGTTATTTCTCTTTGATGAAGAAGTGAGTTATCACTGGGCAGTACTTGCATGATAATATTTGGTCTACATTAGATATATAGACACAAGATTAGATAGATATTGAAACACAAGGTATTTGTGTTTCTTTTTTGTCTACAAAACATATGTTGTATTTTAGTTACACTCTTTTTCTCACTTTTTTTAAAGCTAAGTTTCAAATAATGTGTCAACAAAAAACAATATTTTGTTGCAATAAATAGAGAAAATAAAAATAGAAATACTTTTTTGTTTTGCACCTGAGTACACAGAAATGTGTAGCATTTTTGAAGAAATTTATTTGAAGTAGAGGACTACGTTCATGTTCTATTAGCAAAACTTAGAAAACTCTCTTCCGTATTTTGTTCATAGAAATAGTTACTGAATAACTTCCTGTTTTTTGTTAGTAAGTTAGAAATCTGTTGTAGTTATTGATTTTAAGATATTTCTTTTTCTTAAGAATTCTGCCCTTTTCTTAACTAATGTGAGTCTAATTTCATTGAATACTACTTCATTATTTAGATGATATCAAGTCTGTGGAAACTTTTTATTGTTCTATCGAACAAAACCATAATGTAGTGAAGATGGATAACTAGTTTACAATTCAAATGTTTTTTATTTACGTTTCAATTTTGATGAATACTAGCACATGAAAATAACTACCAGAGATGACTATATAATTTTGATAAATGACTTTTTTAGAACATAACTGGATAATTATTTGATGAACGCATGCCCTAGATAAATGATTTTTCCAACAGAAATCGATTTGTACCTCTTTGTACCAAAAAAAAGAATGATCTTTTGAAAATATAGAATATTTTTGTCAACAGAAACAAAACGTTTCTATTTCTAGCTTGTCCCTAAACAACTTCAGTTTTTCTCTATTCAACAATGATAGAAAACATGTAATTATTGTGACAAAAGAATACTTTTATAAATTTGAATTTGTAAGTATTATACTACTGAGTGATTGATTGATCAACTGACATAACACCGGTTTTTGTCTCTCTTATTTTTTTTTCTCAGTCATTGTATATATCTATGTCTCACAAATAAATTTTACTAATGAATTGTATGCATATCAATTGTCTTTCATCACTTGAGACTTTTTTTTTTTTGAACATACAAGACAAAAAAAAATGCAATGTATATTTATGTGTACCATCCTTTTAATATTTTGTACTCCATAATCATCCAATAGAGAGAAGAGTATCTGATTTTTCTAAGTCTTTTTTTTTTCCAGCAATTTATTTTGACATGTTAGTCTTTGCATGCATTACAATTTTTTTAAAAAAAAAAAAAAAAGCCCACATCTCATCTACGTAATGAAATGCGCATTTACGTTAAATATTATCATCATCATTCAGTTCAGTTCTTTTCCATGTATTCTATTATTATTATTTGTTGCATATAGCACCATGATGATGTGTGTGCTTGTGTGTATAATAAGAAAATATATTTTCCTTTTTTTATTTTTTTTTATTCATTTTCTCCTTCATGTTTTGTTGATTAATTGTGTTTGCATGTTTCTTTCTCTACAGTTCAATACAAATTTTCTGACCTCTCTTGTGCTTTTCTTTTGTGGTGTTCATATAGCTAGAAGAAGTTTTTTTTACTATCACTACGTTATGGTGATGATAAATTTTCATTTATATATATATATAGATATATATATGAAAGAGAGAAAGAGAGAGAGAGTTTTTCACATATAAGAAGAAAGAAGAGAAAAAAGAAAAGCCGTAATAATCATCAGAAAAAGTAGTAGTAGTCTTTTCTTTTTCAAAGTCAATTTTCCAACAAAAGATATTGCCGTAATCAACAATTGTTGATTATAAAGGAAAAATTTTTGGTCTACCATAAACATTGTTTGTCACGTAACAATTAAGAAAATGTTCGTCTTCACAATGTTCAAGAATATAAAATTTTCAAGTGAAAGGAGAAAAAATTTACGACGTGTATAATACGGAAATAAAAAACAAATGTTTTTTTTTCTTTTGTAAAAAACAACAACAGACAAACAATGTTGTTATATGTTTTTGTCAATAAATAAACTACGACATTTCTTCAGCACTATTTTACTTCTCTATTTTTATCTTTGAAAAAGAAAAAATGCCCTGTACTTAACACTAAGAACAAGAAAAAAAGAATTCAGATAATAGATGAGGATTCATTAAATTAAATTAAAACTCTCTTAGATCTTTATCTGAAAGAAAAGGAAGATATATATTAATTTAATTGTAAACTATACTTACCTATCTAATGTTCGCACATCTAAACAAGGATGAATTGATGTATTAATCGAGTTTTTATCATAAATCTAGGTAATAATTGAATGTGTTAATGAATTGATATGATTTAAAAACTCTTTGCTAATTTAATTAAAACATATAATTTTGGTTATAATTATACTAATTTACTGTTGTTTTGTTATGAACAAACTGTCTTTGGCTTATTTTTGTTCATAAATGAAAGAATGTTTACTTTTGACAAATACAGTAAATTAATGACATCTACTTATATAACTGCGTTTTTCAATTCAAGTATTAACATAATACTACTGATCTAGTACTGTTAGTCAAATCCATTTTTTTAGATAATGATGTTAAAATCAACTCTAATTTCTGTCTATTGTCCTATTCTTTTAGAGGTGCATTTTCGATTGTTCGACGATGTATACAAAAGAGTACAAATCAAGAATTTGCCGCTAAAATAATCAATACAAAAAAACTTTCAACTAGAGGTATACAATTGATCCATAAAATGTATAATTTATTGATTATCTTTTTATCATAGATCATCAAAAGCTTGAACGTGAAGCGAGAATATGTCGTCAATTAAAACATCCAAATATTGGTATGAAAAATATATTTTATCTGTTTTTTCGTCTTCTTCTTTTGACCTACATCAATTTTTATTTATTTTTTAGTGAGATTACATGACAGTATTTCAGAAGAAGGATTTCATTATCTTGTGTTTGACCTGTAAATCGCCATCTTTGTTTAAAAAAAAAAATTGTGTATTCAAACGTATTTATTTTTGTTGTATAGAGTGACCGGCGGAGAATTGTTTGAAGACATTGTAGCCAGAGAATTTTATAGTGAAGCTGATGCTAGGTACGTAATTCAATTACTCTGTTTATACCCGGCCTATATTTGAATGTGTGTGTGTGTAGTGCTTTTTAATCTTGTTTTCTTTTTTTTTATTTTAGTCATTGTATTCAACAAATTTTAGAAGCTGTTCGACATTGTCATGAAAGCAACATTGTACATCGAGATCTAAAGGTAGAATATTTATCACGAAACTTGTTTTAAATACGAAATAGAGGATTCTATTTTTATTTTTATTCTTCTCTATTAAATAGCCTGAAAATCTGCTGTTGGCCAGTAAAACGAAAGGAGCGGCTGTTAGTAAGTTTTAGCTGATGTGTTGATCATAAGGTATTTTAATCCAATTATTCTATTTCTAGAACTAGCTGATTTTGGCCTTGCCATTGAAGTAACTGGTGAACAAACAGCATGGTTTGGTGAGTATCGAATGTTTTTATCTTAAAGGAACCCTCCCTCAGGAAAAAGCTTTTTTATTTTACATTCGATTTCGATGGGCCTTCCTTACGGTGCCGAATGCTTACTGTCCAACTAACTTATACTAAAAACATTTTTATACAAATCTACGTTGAAGCGCTGCCAAGTTATTGCGTGACAAGAGGCAAAATGGGGCTGTTAGGAAAAACTCTCAGACTTTTTTGTTGAAAGGTGCAGAAAGCTGCGGGTGCTCTCAAATGAAGGTGGACACCTAAATCTAAAGGTTATCCGTAGCGATTTTTGAATTTTGCTTCCGTTTATTCTCTACACGTATTTTAAGTCAGACTTCTGAAAATAACCCTAATTCAGCGGAGTATATGCCACTTATCTTTGCACAGAAAACGAAATTCAAAAATCGCTACGGACAAAATTTAAATAAATGTCTTAGCTTCAAAATAAAGAAAAATTAAGGTTTTACGAATAGTCGCCTAGCAGTTTTGCTGCGCCAAAACTATATTCCAAGCAATGACGTTATCACTTCATTAATTATAATTCAGCACCTTTAGCAAAACTAGTATAACTCTGCAAGGCGAAGTCATTCAAAACTACGAAACGTCTCATTTTAATCAGAACATTCTACTCAACATAGCTCCATGCCTGTCAAAACGGACAATCTTAAAAATTTTAATTAAAATGTAAAATTTAGAAAAGGCCGTTTTTAGGGCTTTCAGAAATCTTTTTCAGAAACATCCAAAACCATTAAAATTTTGGTAAGTTGAAATGGATTCTGAAAGGTGACACTTTGAGATTCTGAACCGTATAGTTACATTAGTTTCGAAGATTTTAAAGAAAAAGTCGAATTCTGAGGGAAGGGGAGCGAAGTCCCGTAAAATATGTTAAAAACTAGATAATCTATTAATTTTTAGGCTTTGCCGGTACACCTGGCTATTTAAGTCCAGAAGTATTGAAGAAAGAACCGTACGGAAAGCCTGTTGATATATGGGCATGTGGTAAGTAATTAAATAAATGTAAGACTTTGTATTTGATGTCATTGTTTATTTTAGGTGTTATATTGTACATATTACTAGTCGGTTATCCACCATTCTGGGATGAAGATCAACATCGTTTATATCAACAGATAAAAGCAGGTGCCTATGATTATCCATCTCCTGAATGGGATACAGTTACAACAGAAGCTAAACGTTTAATTGATTCAATGTTAAATATTAATCCAAGTAGGCGTATTAATGCTACAGATGCATTGAAACATCCATGGATTTGTGTAAGTAGTTTATGTAATTCTTTAAATATCGAATTATATTATTTTTTGACTTGATATTTTTTATTCATTCAGTTAATTGAGTATATTTTTTCTCTCTTTATGTTTGTCTAATCATCCATAGTGTTGATTAACATTTTATGAAATTCGACAATTGTTCATCTTAGTCTAAAATAGGAATTTATCTGATGTAAATAAATCTATCTTTATTTTTTGATCAAGTAAGGAGAATAGTATGTATACAAAAAAATTTCATTTTGAACGAAATATCATTAACTATTTTAATTTAGGAAAAAATTCTTTTTGTCATTAGAACGAATATATCTAAAAATTAAGATAAGAATTTAAAAGAATAAATTCTATCTAATATTGTTTATTGACATTCCTGAGAAATGTTTTTCTTTAATATATTCTACTGTTGTTTACTATGGTTCGATCAGATTTTTTGTTCAACAATTATAAATAATATTTTATTGAAGTTGACTTTAGACTTCAGTAGTGTATGTCTATATTTAAATAAGTTGTTTGACATGTGTTACATATCAGTTTTTTAAAGAGAATCACGTTTTTTTCCTTAAGAAATATATATATATATATTTTTTTTGCCTCTATTATCCTATCTTTTTCGCTCAGTTAATAATAAATGAAATAACGTCATCATTCGATTAAAAAAAAACCTCTTTCAAGTTAATATATCTTTATGAGAAAAGACAAAATTCGACCTTTGACAACAAGAAAAAAGTCGTTGTATTTGACAACAAGAAGGAAATGGAAATGATGCTGATGATGGGAAGAAGAAAAAAAAAATAAAAAAACCTTTTTTTGTGTCCATAAAACATTTCAATAAAAGGAAAGAAAGTAGCCTCCTATTTTTTCTATTCTTTCTTTCTTTTTTGATCATCAAACAAAAGAATATGAATACATACATGTTTTCGCCGATTAAAACATGATGATAATAATGGATAAAGTAGATCGAACTTATTGATCTTTTTCTCTGTATGTCTACGTGTGTATCTCATTTATTTTCATCATTGGGTCTAATGTTTTTATTGTATTATATTTTACTTTTCGTTTTTATTTTTAGCAACGAGAACGTGTAGCTGGAACAATACATCGACAAGAAACAGTTGATTGTTTAAGAAAATTTAATGCAAGAAGAAAATTAAAAGTAAGTATAGATATTATTTTTTATATTAAAGAAAAAGAGAAAGATTTCACTCCTATGGAAAAGATTTACGACAGCCATAATTGACATGCAAAAAAAGGGCAATAATTGACTTTTGAATCATTTTTTCTTCTACATTAGTCTCCTGTCAATGCAATGCTCATAAAATGTAAAATAAAAAATATTTTTGAATAATATCGTCCTATTTCTGTCATCTTTCAAATAAATTTAGAATATTACTTGATACTAGCTATTGATTTAAAAGGTGTTCAGTTAATTTCTCATATGTATCAAATTTATTCTTAAGATAGCTGATAAAAAGAATTGAATTAATCTTATCTTTCTTTGTTCTTGATTTTTGATTCGGTGTGATTAATCACTAGCAGATATATCGCTTGTCTTACTGTCAACAAATCGGATCTGTCTTCAGTTGCTCTACAGTTGATGACAGTGTGAAAAGTCTAATGAAACTATTTTCAGATCAGTACAATATCTGAAAAAACTTACAAATACTATACTCAATTTTTGCTCTTTTTTTTGTACAGGATGGCCCAAAAAAAAACTTACCCCTTCTGTATTTATTGACGTACTTATCTACAAATATGATTGAACTTTTTACCACCAATTTAGTCGAGTAGAGTAAAGATTTCTGGACAAAATGAAACGTCTCCGAGCTTTCTAAGAGCTTTTCTCATGAAACAGCATTCAATTTACGAAAGATTCCAAACCACCAAAGTCAGGACAATTAACGGAAAAACAAGAAAGATACGCTCTTAGGGCCTTCCGTAAATTGAATGCTGTTTCATGAGAAAAGCTCGTAGAGAGCTCGGGGACGTCTCATTTTGTTCAGAAATCTTTACTCTAGTCGGCTAAACTAATGGCAAAAAGTTCAATCATATTTGTACATAAGAAAGTCGATAGATACAGAGGGGGGTAAGTTTTTTTTGGGCCACCTTATACATTATAGGTATAAAAATAAGTACTACCGTGATCATATTCTGAGATTTTTAGTCTTTTTTGATCGATTTTGATTCAAATATTAACTTTTTAATATTCAGTGAAGCTAGTCCGACACGGTATATTTTTGAAAACATTGATTTTTACTAGTATCGCAGTCAAAATACAGTGCACTCTGGAACTTTTTGAATAACTTTTCAATAGAAACTGATGAAGACTTGCGATTTTTTTGCCGTTCGAAAGAGAAAGCTTCGGACAATCTTTCCATTAGAAAAATGTTAAAAAGTATGGAAAAATAGGTTATCAACCACGCTGAATCTTGCGGCAACGGTTGATTTTCGAGAAAGTCACATCAACCTATTAAAAACTTGGTGAAAAATCATCCATTTTGCCTATTTCCACGTAAAATTAGAAAATTGATAACTCACTCAAAATCTCTTCGAACTAAAATCAGAATATTATAACCTTTTCAAAAACCGAAGTATTTTCAAAATAAAAAGTACGATAATAGCAGCGTTTTTAAAAAAAAACAAAAAACGCTGCTTTTTATTTTGAAATTATTGCCCATTAATCGTAATAATAGAAGTATTTTCTATTGATTTTTAAAACTTTTATCGAACTCCATAATATAGTTTAAATAAAATAGAGTACATCTTGATATTCTGACGTAGTTTGAAGACATGAGTGAGTTATGAATCTTTTTTAAAATGGCAGTTGAATAAAAAAAGATTTGTCAGGCACACCACCTGTAGGTACACCACTGTACTTCGATACGCGATTCTTTAAAATTTTTCGAAAAACGAACATTGCCACGACTTTTAGCATGCTCAGTTGTATCATCTTTAAAGTTTTCAAAAGTCAACAGATACGAACTCTAGGATTTCCAACAAATTCAATGTATTGCCTAATCTATAATGGATGGAGGTTTCGCTTGACGCCCAATTCGACGAGAACACTTTGGGCTATATCTATTCATGGAAAAAATATATATATTTCTATCACAAGTTGTGAGCCTGAAAAGGATCTTTTTTCCAAAAAGTTGTTTTGAAAAAAGGATCTTCAACTTTTTAGTTTTATGTAAAAATACGTTTAAGTCTGACCTTCTGCCTAAGCTCAATCCTTTTCGTTCTCGAGTTGTGCAATAATACTGCTTCATCTTTTGGATAGTGTTAGTCTTAATAACTAAAATGTTTTATATCGTTATAATATAATCTTGTTTTATAAACAGTATTCAGTTGTATTTTAAATGCATTGTGAGAGTATTGTAGAGTCCTGTTACCATGACTTTTTCATTACCATTTAGCATACCATTATCATCAATAGAAATACTTTTTTTTACCATTACCGTTAACATCATCATGACTGCTTTACCATTACCATTATTGTGGTAATGGTAATGAAATTTCCATAGTAATAGAACATACTCCCATAGAAGAGAAAGAAAAAAACATAAACACGTGCATGAGGCACAAAATAAAGAATATGTAGGATCGTGGACTAGCCTGAAAACTTAATGTTTGACTGTATTATGTACACTAAAGTGATATACGACGCCATTTATAATAAAGAGATGATATGATTATGAACTGAAATCCGTTACCACTACCATTACCATGACTTTAAATTTTTGTTACCATTTACCATCTAGTACCAGGAATTAAAAAACATGGTAATGGTAAGGTAATGGAATTTTTTTGTTACCACAGGACTCATTGTCCTTTCCTTGTGATTAGTGTTAAGACACTTGAGAATTAAGCGAAGTTTCTTCATTTTTCCAACTGATATGATCATTTCGTAAAACTTTTATTGATGACTGAAATTAGTCTATTTATAATAAAAATAATATTTTGATGTAATCCGATAAGATAACGTTTTGGTGCATGCTTTTAAAGACGAAACTATTCATAATTAGAATGTTTAACAAATAAAAATCAAGAAATAACCATTTATATATTTTTTTAAAATCAACTGTTCTCCATTATCCTTATTTTGAGTTTATGATAAATTTTTTCCACAGATATCTTTCTCTCTCATTTGAGTTTGTCAAATTCTATCTAAAATCATTCGATAAGAATAAAAATTCGACATGAGAATATGATTCATACCCCAGTCAAACGGAAGGAAATAATATTTTTTGACAATCAACTATTGTATCTTTTGCTTTCCATCGTCTCAGCTGATATTCTTTCTATCAGTATCATCGTTCTCCTTCAGTTCCTCTTTCTTGTTCTTCACAGATAAACACATGAATTGATTATTAGCTCTCTTCCTCTCTCTTTCTCTTTCTCTATGTATACATATAATATTTTGATTTATTTTTGTTGTTATTATTACTTTTTTTTCTTTCTCTGCTTTCTTTAACTATTGATTGTATATAAATAGTTATACTACTAGAATAGAAAGAAGAATAAACCATTAATGAATGTATGTATACATACATGTATTTATCCGAGGAAGCTAACTAGGCGAAAAAAGAAAATAGTTTATAAAAACATTTAGGTCACAAATTGTACAGTTATTTTTGTGTGTGTGTGTGTGCGTGTATGTGTGTGTGTGATACAAAAATTCTGTAATGATACAAACGAATTTATCACATTTTCTACAAATAAATTAACTGAATATTGTTATTTGTCGTTTTTACCAAAAAAATAAAATAAAAAATAAGAAATGATCGAATGGTTTGGATTGTTTTGTTTAACATGTTTAATTGTAAGACGTTCTCTTCTTTTATTTATATTACATCATTTTTTCTAACTTACTCTGCTGTTTTAGGGAGCCATTTTATCTACAATGTTTGTTAATCGAACATTAATACCTAGTAAGTAGACAATACTAATTTCATGTTTTTGTTTTCTTCTATTGCTTACAATGTACAAATAGTGTCTGCTATAATTTTTGAGCTAATATGTATATATATATATATATCTATATTGTTGTTCGTTTATTCGTATATATGAATTTCGTATATTGTACAAAAAAATTTGTTAGTTTAATACTTTTATTCGCTCATTACAAATAAGAACACTTTAATGTCTCTTCAAAGAGTTTGTTATTATGCATGCTAACTATTTGTATTTGTAAAGGGACTAGTTAACTTGATATTTTTCTGAAGAAAAAAAAATGTTGTTTTGCTCTCTCTCTCTTTCACTCTCTTCGTTTTTTGTTTTTTTTTGACTAATCACTATAAAATCCAATAGTTTATTCTTAATATTATTCTACACATTAATTACTGCTTTAGCCCACTCGCACTTCTTATGTCAGCACTACTGATTATTTGCTAATTGTAAACAAATTGGTTGATTTAAAAAGTCAGTCTAATGATCCGTTAATTACATAGGTTTTGTATAGGTGGGAGTAGTGTACATCCGAGAAACAAAAATGTACATGATTATTTATATTTCTCGTATGAATTTTCTCTTATGCCTGTGATAGTTTTGTTTTTCACTAAAAAAAGAAAACAAGCAAGCTTTTCAATATTCCCAAATTATTTTTCTCCTATGTTTTCTGTTTAGAGAATGCAACACATTCATCCTCGAGTTAGAAGTATGAAGGGTGTGGTTTAGAATTTGAAAATAAATGAGAGTGAAGAGAATCAACAACATTTTTTTTTTTTGATGTTTTTTAATCGTATTTTTGTTTTTTGTTCTGAATACCATGCTGCTATTATATTTTAGAATATGATATCCATACACATTTGTTGCACTTCTATTTTTCTAACCCCATACGCATCTATTTAAGTCATTCATTCTTTTATTCATTCATTATTCATTCAAGTCTCTATTTTTAATCCAATCGGATGTTGTTTTGTGCAATATAATAATCTCGTCATTATTTTTTTATGTAGAGCATTTTTGTTTAATTCCAAATAGAATAAATGATTTTTTGTGCATATCCGTCTTGACCCTCTCCACTTTCAAGATGGCTATTTGTTTTGCCTATACACAACATCGTTGTATGTGTATCATTTAGACGTTGGCATAATTGGTGGTAGCAGCAGTAGTAGTAGTCCAACTGCAACACCTCAAATAGCAAAAGACGTGGCTGCTGCTACAATTATTACTACTAATAATCCCATTGATATTAGTAAAAAAGTAAATTCACCATTAACGAGTCCAACAGCGGCAGGAGCACTTGCCGCTTTGTCAAACATAGGAGGAGGTACGCAGAAAAATAATAAAATAAACAATATGGATGTGCGGTGGAATTAGTGTGTTGTTTGTGTGTCTCGCTTTATTTTCTCAGATTGAGAATAAATAAATTTTTTTTCTCTCTCTGTGTGAATGTTTCTTCATGCTTTAGCTTCATTATTTGTTATTTTAATGCTTGGTCATTTAGAATATCACATAAATGATACTCGAACTTGACTATCTTGCTTTTTTTCTCGATAAATTCGTCTCTCTCTCGTCAAGGAAACAAAAAAATATATAAATTCACAGGTAAACTCTGCTCAATATTCTCATTAAAGATGTTTGCTTCAGAAAATTAGAGGATCTCTATAAGAAGATTAATATTCTTCATGAGAACACGATGTGTAAACAAAAGTGTAAATTGTAGAATATTTTGAGAAATTTTAATAATAATTACTGAATACAATCACTTTTACACGATGTTTATTCTTTACTAACTAAAATATTTTATGTTAAAAAGAGTATCATTTGACGAACGATTGTCATGTCATTCAAACTCTTATTATAAAAAATAATTGTAATATATTTGTCCATATTTGGAGTGTCTGTGGAGGAGTTCGATGCATTATTATTTCCTCTTTTTCTTTTCTTTTCTCTGATTTAAAAAATATATATGTTGTAGTATAAATGTTGTTCTTGGCGTGGTCATTTTTTTTTTTTTTTTTTTTTGTGACATGTATATCAAGAGATAGATATGTGTAAGGATTTTTTTTTCTCTCCGAGACAGAAAAGAAAAATAGCTCATTGTATCGGCATGATGTACAATTTATGTGTGTGTTCTGGTTTGTTTAACTAGAAAAGTACAACAATAATTATTAAATAGCAAGAGTTGTTATAAGTTTGTTTTGCATTTGTAACTATTAAAGTGTTAGTTTTTCCTGTAATGTCAATGGACATTGATCAAGAAGGCAAGTAAAAAGAAAAAAGAACTTCACCTGTTTATTTATCCTTTTATTTTTTTATAATGATTCATCTTTCTGCTTGTTGTAATATTGCATGGCTACTATTTTCTTTGATTCTCATTTGTCTACTGACTTTATTTTATTTAAAATTTAATTATTTTGGTTTTATTTTGTTTTAGGTAATCGTTCTAGACCAACAACACAAAGTGGAAGCAATGTTAAAGAATCAGCTGATAGCAATAGTGCAACAATTGATGATAATGAAGCCGATCGAACTGAACGTTTCAGTATGTGTAAAAATTAAATGTTTTATTTAAATTTAATAACAAAGAGACTAAGTGTCACTTAACTATGTTGCAAAAAATATTTTCTCTTACTGTTCATTATCTTAAGAGTACGAAAATAAAGTGAAAAACACCTATTTTTAGTCATTAAAACACAGCCAGTGAAAGGTCATATGACTATATCTGATTCAAGTAAGCGAAGTTCCTGCTTGAAATACTTTATATTTATTTTGCATTTTTTTTTAATTATAACGGAGCGCTCGTTGGTGATGGTGATGTTTTTTTTTTGTAAAAAAAATAGTTTAAAAAAACAACAATATTTGTAACGTGCATCATTATGCTATGATTAATTGTTCGTATGCTTATTTTTCTCTCTCTTTCCCTGATGATCACATACACATACACTCAAACACGCCACATATTCTTATTTTATTCTTGAGACTATTTATTCAATTTATATTATTTTTTAATTTTATCCTAAACGATACATCTGCGGTTGTTATTCATCTGATTGCATTTAAAGTTTTTTAATTGATAATGGTGACAGTTAGTATCAAATTCAGAATGCACGAAGTCTCTCTAGTTTCTTCTTTTTTTTTTCTGCTTTATGTTGACGTCTTTCGCGTGGAAAGTGTTTCTTACTTTGATGCTTGGCCTACACTCTTCTACATAAGGGGTTCAAATCATATTAAGTAGTGCGATGATATATAAATTTTTTGTTCAGCAAAGATCAACTGAAAAGTCATTCGTAAGTTTCTTACGGTTCAGTGAAACGTTGAAGTCTTTTTTTTGTGTGTGTGTATGACTCTGGATGTACAGTGCTTCGAAAGATATCCTTATTTTAGTCTTCGATTTTCGGGCATGAAAGGTGCTTCTAACTACGCTCTTATGCATTAGGTGTCTTAAATCGCCTTTTTTCCGTATTCATGCATATTTGACTAAGATTATTAGTTATAATGTAGCAACGGCGTTTTAATGGTAAGCTGAAAACACTAATCACCATTATTTTAATTTTTATGGAATTACTATGTTATGTTTGAAGTTCTGGTTATTTCAGTAAACTGTTATTTTTGGTTTTTTCGTTTTTTTCTTTAGATATTGAAATCACAAAAGTAACAGAACAACTTCTGCAAGCAATTGCGAACAATGATTATGAATTATACAAGTAATTCTTGTCTATATCTAAAATAATTATGGAAAAATCAAACTCTTCTCTAATTTTAGATCGTTATGTGATCCAAAAATCACGTGTTTTGAACCAGAAACAATTGGAAATCTGGTTGAAGGACTTGATTTTCATAAATTTTATTTCGAAACAGGTATATAATTCAAATTTTTTTTGTCATGGTTCTGCACTAATAAACCCATAGTCAGTCACTTAGAATGCTTTTTGTGGAGCTAGTTTAAATATTGACATTTCATATAGGAAAATTTTCTCGTTCTGATACAGGTGCGTTCTTTTTAATATTCATATTATTCGTTGTTGTAATATCTTTGCAATTCTTTTTTTCACGCAAGTATGATCTGTACATCACTTGTATGATCGATCAGAATAGTTTGTTTTTGTTGTATTTGTGAATTTTACGTCCAATTGCTTGTTTTTGTCCTGTTATGCTTGTCAGAATGCAAAATCAAGGGAGATATCTAATATATTCATACGATTTGATTTTTGTTTGGAAAATATAGTATGTAAAATTTCTTGCTAGTGAACAATTTGTTTGATTTGTAACCAACCGTAAGTTCAAATAAAGTCAAAATTTTATTTGTTCTTCATTATTGAAAAATTGGGTAGTCTTCTTTTCTCATATAATTTTGTGTTCGTTTGTTATTATTCTTGATTGTTTAGGATCTATGTGTTCACCTGTAATTTGTTTTAGTTTTATCTACGAAAGCAAGTAAACCAACGATTAATTGTACAATGTTAACTCCAGTTGTTCATTCATTGGGTGATGATTCCGCTTGTATTGCCTATGTTCTTTTGCTACAGTATTTAGACAAGTATGTATAATAATTTTGAATTTTTTATGTAATTGATGGTTGTCAGAACTTTTGGTCAAGATTAGCGGTGAATGATAGAGAATTTTCGCTCAGAGGTAACGTAGCATATTTTTAAATTGCCTTCAACATTAAAAATATTCGTACGTGAGGATATTCTCTTCCTGCTTTCTACACTTTCCAGTCTCTTCCTGATTTGGACACTGAGACAATTTTTATGATTGAATTGTTTTTATCTCTTCTTTGATTTAGAAATGGGCAAGCTCAAAGTCTTCGTACAGAAGAGACTCGTGTTTGGCATAAAAAAGATGCACGATGGCAATGTGTACATTTACATCGAAGTGGACAACCAATATCAGCTATTAAATCGTGATAGAAAAAATAATGAACGAATCTCGTTTTGCTGATTTGTGCTTTCTCTGTTTTCCTTCTCTACATAGGAACATTGGCTCTCTATCTGTTTTTATGCTCGGTCTCCCGAATCAACAAAGAGAAATGTATAGAAGATAAAAGACAATCTGCATTGTTTCAACTTTTTGCTCATTTTTGTTTATTTTTGTTCACGAGTTATTAATCTATAACCCATTATTACTTGCCATCGTCACTTATTCCTTTCTTATTCTCTATTTTGGCATCCATTCCTTATTGATGTTGTTTACGCTTTGTTTCTCATTGTGTATTTTCTTCTCTCTTGAGATAACTTTTCAATTTAAAACGAGTAACTTGTTTAATTGATATTATATTTGAGTCGTTCTTTGTACTAACTCTATGTATTTTCAGTTATTCGCTAGACAAAACTGACTACTTCCACTATATACAAAATGACTTTTGAACCAAAGCATTAAACGTGACTTTTGTCTGTCTTTCTCTCTTTCACTTTCTCTCTCTCTCTCTCTCTTCATCTTCTAGAGTATTGCTCTTAACTCAGGATGTTTATGTAAACATTTGTTTTGGGGGTACATGCTATTTATCGATGGGAAGATTGATAGATCTTCTGACGCATTAGCAGAAGGTCACATTTTGAATGACGAAAGAGGTATAAAAAATAAACAAGAAAAGAGAAGCAGACTTTTTTTTTATGACAAATTTGTTCTTTCAGTATACTATACTTTTTTATTTTGATCTACTAGGCAAGTGAATAATCAATGTTGTTGTTGTTGTTGTTGTTTGTTGTCTCTTTGTTCTTGAAAACACATAGTTATTTTCCAATTAAAAAATTAAAAAATAAACCAACCTTTATTTATTGTTCGTCTGTCTGCCTATTCTATTTTTTCGACTAACAGAAGATTTCATTGTGCAAGAACTTTAACAGAGACTCCATCAGCGAACCGCAAAACAGCTTAATATGTTAAAAATCATTTTTAGCTAGTAAATATCTTATGTTTTTCTATAGAGAAATAAACTAAGAAATCGAATTTTAACCTTGAAGAAGCTATAGTTATTGAGTTATGAGTTTTTCTCTTCATGTGTGTATTCTTAGTAATCAATAAAGCAGATATTTTAGTATACATTTAGTAGAAAGGGTTTTTGAAAACGTTCTATTTTTACTAACACATAGAGAAAATCAAATTATACATTTTCTCAAAATTGTCAATATTGAACGTGTTGTTGATAGTATGCTGAGTTTTTGATAAACATGGGTAGAAGAATATTTTCTCTAAAAATTTTAAACAGATTAATCATTAAATAAAGCAAATATGAATGTTTATTTTTTAATTTTATACCAGAAGATACATAATTATTAATAAATATTAATGAAATTATTTTTGCCTTAATTTTGTCATAATTCAAAGAAATTTATGTTATTGTCTCTCGAAAATTGAATAATACTGGTTATTAGTTAAATTTAGATAATTGATTCACAAGTCAGATGAAAAAGTAGGTAAGGTGTCGAGTATGTGATAGAGGTAGTCTAGTCAATTTTATTATTTGAACAAAATATGTAGTGTGATGCAGTTATTTTTTTTAAATAGTTGTTTTTTAAAATAATTTAAGCTAAATTGATATATCGAGTTCTCTTGTGAATCTACATTAATACTTGGTTGTATATTATTTTCGTTCGCTTATTGAGCTATCTTGTAGAAGAATGTCAACCGTAGAAATTAAGAAGTCATTTTTAGCCTGTACTATGTGTTTAACGTAAAAAAACATTTTCATTCTTTATGAAAAAATTCTTCTTTAGTATTTTCAACCTGCTGACACAATTATACATACTCTTGTCCACGTACAGTATCCTGTTTGATTTTTCAATGTCTTCTCTATCGAACGATATGTTAAATCGTTACCGCTTTATGATGAAAATATGAACATATCTACTGTATTGATTACCAAGAATATATACATTTAGGGAAAAACTCATAACTCAATAACTATAAGTTTCTCAATGTTAAAACTAGATTTCTTAGTTTATTTCTCTACAGAATAACATGAGACATTTTACTTGCTAAATATAATTTTCGACATAATTTATGCCTCTGGTGAATGAAAATGCTTGATGGAAACTTCTCTCAACTTATGTAAATCATATATTAGATTTTTGTTTGTTTTTTGTCCTCATGTTTTTCTTTTGAATTTTACTTTTACAATCTCTTTTTCGTTTACTTATTGGTGATGATAGAAAAAATTGAAGAAAATGTTTTGGTTGTTTCTTGTTCATTTATAATATGTATGAAAAATAAATGTATGTTTTTCAAGCGATACTATTGATGGTGTGATTGTATTTGATGATAATTATTACAATTCATTTGTCGATTCAGATGATCGAAAAAATGTATCTACGATGTGGGATAGCACGGTAATTTTAAATTGACAAAACGAAGCATAGAAAACCAATGTGTCAAACTGATATTTAGTCAAACGAACAATTCTATTGTTACCAACTTGAGTCCAAGAAATAAATAACGGATGGGGACAAAAGTTCTGCATTAAGCGTTGCAATGGAATCACGTAGAGACTATCCTTTTTTTTGTTAGAAACAGCAAAGTGTCAGAAATATATAAAAGTATTTGATCGGAGATATTTCGCGAGGGCCATAAAAATCATAGAACAAAATGCATCAGGAAACTGTTTCGCAATATTTTCGAATTCCTCAAATATTCTACCCAATAGGAAAGGTTATCTTTTTATTCATTTTATTGCGACTTTTATAATCTAAGGATAGGACACTATTGTTGCACAAATGTATCTATGTATTTTATAATGGTTGAAATGAGCGCTTTTATAACATTCTATATTATTATCGATTTTTCGTCACTGTCGATCACAGTCGAAAAAAGAAATTCTACTCCGAGAGTGAAGTTGTCAGAAACTCTATATTTTACATGAAAACGAAAGTTTATTCAGTCCTCTACCAAACGATATTATTTGGAACACAGCTGCTCTGTGAGATATTAGGATAAAAACTTGTTTTCGCGTTATAAACGTCAAATTGAGTTTTTCATCAAACTGTCTTCTCTCTTGTTGTAGTCAAGACCAACTTTTTTAATATCATACGAAAACCTTCGTTGTAATAAATAACTTCATATATATGGTGCTCGAAAATATCGAAATTGGGTAATGAAAAGGGTCAAACAAATATATTTGGATACAAAAATTGTGACTGAAGTTGCGGAACAGTTTCCTGATGCATTTTGTTCTAAGATTTTTATGGCCCTCGCGAAATATCTTCGATCAAGTACTTTTATATATTTTTGACACTTTACTCTTTCTAACAAAAAAAAAGGATAACGTCTCTACATGATTCTATTGCAACGCTATATCAAAAACACAATTAATGCGGAACTTTTGCCCCACCCGTTCTGCAGTTTTTGAACAAGGTCGATTCTATGATAAGTTTGTGAAACTATTTAATAAATAATATTTTTTACTTCTAGTACAAATCTTTTAACAAAAAAGGTTATGTATTTGTAAATACCCTCCGTTCAAGGTAACCAAAGAATGGATGGCATGCACTATTTCTTTTTTTTGCACATGTTACACAAATGAGTCATTGTTTAGTTAACAAATCGAAACAAAGTAAGACTAGTTGCTTTCATTATGCAAGAATAGATAAAATTTTCTTCTTCTACTGTAAAGTCTTTTAGTAGAGAAAATCTGAGTCTTATCTCTTTTGACTACTTGTTGAATAGCATATTGTTTAGTTAATAGAACAATGTGTTTAATAAAATCAAACGAATATTTGACGATCTATGATGAATATTGTTTGTTTTCTAGATATGCTTCGTTACATAGCAATTACAATTAGTTTCATTCTGATTAATGCTACTATTGCTGTTCAATTCAAAGGATACGTTACAAAAACAAAAAATGAATACAACGTTGTTGTTGTTGGTAAAAGTGAAACAGTTAAATTACCTAATGATCTAAAAGATGTATTAGCTTACTGTAACTGGGAAGATTCTTACAATGAAACAGGGTATATAAACTTTCTAGAACATTCATTATGAATATTTGTACAAATTACATTTACTTTAGATGGTCTGTACTCGAGATAAGAACATTCGATAATACAACAAATGTTGATCAGGCCTATACAGCTGGACTTTTAGAAGGTCAAGCGACGCGAGACATGATTGTTTTGCAATGGGCAAATACAATGGCCGATTTATGTAACGGTGAAAATGCAAAATTTTGCAAGTATTTAAGAGAATTTTTGACCATTCAACTCGAATGGATGTATGATCAAGTAAATGAACATCCGAATGATGAATATTGGCATCAAGTAAATTTTTAGTATACGTAATTTTAATTAGTTATCATAATTATAATATTTTATTTTTAGGTTAGTCTTGCATTGATTCAATTAAACGGTCTGATTGATGGTTATTACAATGTTCACCGAGGTCCAAGAATGATGGTCGACAATGTTCTTGATTTACTGTACGTTATAACAGAAAGAAACGGAACACTGTTATTTCCAATTAATCGAATTTCTTATATTTTAGTCTATTTCAAATACAAACATCAATCGATGATTTGGGAAAATTATTAGGAATGCCTAATAGCGAAAAACATGATTCATGTTCAGCCTTAATCAAAGTAATGATAAAAATATGTTTATTTTATTTAATTTGCACAAAAAAATTTTATCGATTTTTCTTTTGATAGTTGTTACCAAACAATGAAGATTTATATGTGTCTCATGCTGATTGGTCGAATTATAAAACAATGCTCAAAGTTCTAAAACGATATATTATGCCACTGAAACGAACACCTACAGGTAAAGATAGTTACCCAATGTTTAATATTACTTTTATATTTTTTTTATTCTTGTATTCTAGGAGTACCTGTTCCTGGTCGAGAAACTGTCTTTTCATCATATCCAGGAACATTACACTCAGTTGATGATTTCTATATGACTCAACCTGCTGGTCTTACAGTTATAGAAACTACAATTGAAAATTATAATGACGATTTATGGCGAAATCTTATACCATTATCCGTTCCAGAATGGATTCGTGTAATTGTTGCAAATCGTTTATCAGCAACAGGTGAAGATTGGGTTAATACATTTTTTAACAATAATGATGGAACGTAAGACAACAAATAATTGTTTTTAAATAAAACTTTTTTAACTAATATTTATTCTTTTTATATTGTGTTTAATTTAGATACAGCAATCAATGGATGATTGTCAATTACAACAAATTCAAACCACACTCACCTCCAAATCCAGGGTATTTTAGATAATTTTATGAATTTTTTCAGTATTAAACTATAGAATATGTGTGATAATTTAGGGCTTTAATTGTTGCAGAACAAATGATAACAGATTTTGAATGGCAAGACATGACTGATACACTTATTCGAGATACATATTGGGCTAGTTACAATAATGTGTATGTTTTTTAGATTGAATTTTTTATAAAGAAATTATGATTGATCATTCTTTATCTTTATAGATTTTTTCCCAGATTAAGAACATTGTCTAAAGAAGAAAATAAGGGAATGGAATTTCCCCAATTATTTTCATGGAATGCTTCATCTCGGGCACAAATATTTCTTCGCGATCAAGGAAACGTGACAGATATGCATTCAATGATTAGAATGATGAGGTAGAGTTAAAATTTATACGATGTTATTATGAACTAGAAATCATTTTGATCTGATATATTTAGATATAATGATTTTAAGAATGATCCTTTATCACAATGTTTAAACTGTACACCGTACAAGTACAGTAGTGAATTAACAATCGCTGCTAGATGCGATTTAAATCCGTCAGATGGAAAATATCCATACGATGTACTCGGACATAGAGTTCATGGCGCGACCGATGCAAAAGTATGAATTTAGCAGATATGTAGAGTAAAAAAATGATTTTATTTTCTCAATTTCAGATAACGAATTATACAATGTTTCAAAATCTATCTCTTATCGCAATTGCTGGTCCAACATGGCAGGGTCAAGATCCATGTAAACTTAACTTCTGATCATATTTTATTTTGCAAATTAATTATTTTTTTGTTTTTCTAGTTAATTGGAGTACATCTGATTTTGCCGCAACAACACCACATCATGGTCATCCAGATTCATTTAAATTTTATCCATTTACGCCCACTTGGATATTATAATTTTGTACCATTCAATCCAAAAAATATCGGTGATAAGACAAAGTAGTATTCAAATTCTTTTCTTACTTTTCTATCTTTGTGTATTTTTTTAAGCGTTTAATAAACGTAATCGTTATATGTTGATGACTTTACTTTTATTTTTTGTAATGGTTATCTCTTTCTCGAATTAATTCACAGGGTTGCTTATTCCTCTAGAGCCTGTTTCTCAAAAAAACTTAACTATTCATTCACTTAAGTGGATGATTAAGGAAAAAATTTAGTACCTAAGGAACACTTAAGTTTCCCCTTAAGTGCGTTTCTCAAAAAAATTTAAGTTAAACAGAGGTCATGCAGTAAAAACCACTCATATATTAACAAATTTAGATTATTCTGATAAAATTTTTTGAACAAAATCCTTCTAAAATTATTTTCTATCTAATTATTATGGGTTTGACTACGAAAAAACGTAAAATAAAGAAGTTACAAATTATAAATAATTTTTCACTTAAGCAAAACTTACGTTGTTTTTAGAAACAGGCTCCTGATATTCTTGACTTATTTTTATTCAATTAGAAATCAGATAAAAAATTATCTAAATCGAATTATTGATTTCTCAATGCGTTTTTTTATGTAATATGGAAAAAATTAGTAGCGATAACATCTGATATTATTCCTTACGAGCTTCGATCTTTTTCTTGTTCTATTTAATAAATTCACATAAGTTCGAAGAACATAGTGTAGAGTATCTACAGCGTAAGAATATCGCGTAGTGCAGATGTCGCCAGTATCAGCACATTTCTGTCTTTAATTAATACTGCTACAGTATGCCATTTCTTAATCTATGTCAACAAATTAAATATGAAATAATTAAAAACTAATATATTGTAAAATTCGTAAAACGCTACATTTACGAAAACTATGTGTACTAGAGGTTGCTAAGCGATCATTCTTATTTTATTACGATAATGCGACAACAACTATAGTCAGTCGTTCATGACAAAAGAGAAAGGAACGGAAGAAAACCTGAAAAAGTGTTTCCAGGTAACGTACCTATGACGACCTTGCAACTACCATCACCACAAAACAGACACACACATAAAGACGATACAAAGTAACAAGAAAGGAATGCATTTGTGTTCATGATCTGCTATTGTCCGTACTCTCTTTTTTATCTGTCCACTTTTTCTTCTTCTATATGAACCTTCTTGGTTAAATCTTAATTTCGTTTTCAAACGGAAAAACCATGTTTAAAAATACATTTCAAAGTGGATTCTTATCAATATTGTACAGTATTGGTAGTAAACCGTTACAAATATGGGATAAAAAGGTAATCATTTTGTTTTTCTAAAATTTCGATCTCGATTCTATCTTAAGTACCTATCTTTCTTGTTAGGTACGGAATGGCCATATAAAAAGGATAACTGATAATGAAATTCAGTCATTAGTACTCGAAATAGTTGGTACAAATGTTAGGTTTGTTAAAACTACAGTATTCAAACTATTCACTAGGATTATTCAAACTTTTTTGTATTTTTGTAGTACTACATATATTACATGTCCAGCAGATCCAAAAAAAACACTGGGGATCAAATTGCCATTTTTAGTCATGATTATCAAAAATTTGAAAAAATATTTTACATTTGAAGTTCAGGTACGTGACTCATAGTTCTCTTATCAACAAAATCGTAATATGATATGGTATATTGTAGGTACTTGATGATCGAAACGTTCGTAGAAGATTTCGTGCAAGTAATTATCAAAGTACAACAAGAGTCAAACCGTTTATATGTACAATGCCAATGAGATTAGATGATGGATGGAATCAAATCCAATTTAATTTATCCGATTTTACTAGACGAGCGTATGGAACAAATTATATTGAAACATTAAGAGTACAAGTGAGTAGAAATATTTTAGTCTAAAAGCACGTGTGAAATACAAAAAAGTCATATTTGTTCAATATGTTCTTGCCAAGAAGAGTGATAAGACAAAAATAATGATTACAAGTCGTTTACTCTTGTAATTAGATACTTTATAAGATATTAAATGGTGGTCCGTAGTAGAAGAAGAACTTCTTTGAGTTGTGTTTAGGATCATTTTTGTAATCATAAAAGCAGATTATGCTTGATTACTTTCGTTGAACATATTTTTTTCTCCATTGTATATATTATGTTTGAATCTAAAACTCTTTCATATTTATCAAGTAATTTTCACGATAGAATACGAGAGAAAATAAGTTCGTTAATTGTATATTCTATTTATTGTCACTTATTCATATATTATTGTTTTAGATTCATGCTAATTGTCGTATTCGTCGTGTTTACTTTTCTGATCGTTTATATTCGGAAGATGAACTACCACCAGAATTTAAACTTTACTTACCAGTACAAAAGAAATAAACATCAAATTAATTATCCATTGAATGCTGCCAAAAAAACTTTGTTTTTTTTCTTCAAGTTATCGAATTGTTTTATTAGAAATAAATAAAAAAATCACGGTGTATATTTCGTGATTTATTTTCAACATAATTCAACATTATTACTTCAATTATAGTTTCGCTTTGTTGAATTTTGTTACATAATATAATTGTTTGTATTCTTTATCTTCATTTCCATTCTGTCTGTAATACATAGAGCGATTTTTTTCATCTTATTGTTAACAAATCGAAATAGCAAAAACAGTATTTCATTAGAAAACATATAGTACGATCATCGGTTGCTTACAAGATCATACTCATGAGAACGTTTATCCGCACGCATTAACTAGGATATGCCATTTTTGCGAAAAACTGTCTGTGTAAAAAGAGAGAGAAAAATCATACTGTAAAAATGTTGTGAGATTCCTTCTTCATCACCGAGATGGAAGTTTGATTTTCATATATAGTTTTTTTTTTGATGGTATAATGCATCAAAATATTCTTTGAATTAATACTTGTACTTATTTATCTCTATTCATAAATAAACAATAGACACACCTGAGAAAACTGGTTTGTCTCATTAATTGTGTGAGTTTCATCATAATTATTAAGCATATCCGATCATCATCTATTTTCTCTCAAGCCCACGATAATTGATGACATGTTATATATAAAACATAGTATAAATATTGCGAAACTTTAATGAAAATATTATCTGTGAGCTCGTGCTCTAAATTGATGTTCTAACAAAGAACCACCATTGGCAGGTTTAGAATTTCAATCAAATCATCAAGACACGGCTGAAATAGTAACACAAAAGTTAAGTATGTGCCATAGTAACGTTGATATTCCACGAAATTCAATGACCGTTATATATCACGTTAATAGAGAGACTTTATGCCAGTAGGACAATCGTCAACACGACAGATTAAACTGTTTACCCGCTTGATAACATATAGTTTATTTAAAAGAGAATACATGAGGCAAGCGAGAAAGGTAAAAACACGAAAAAAACTAACATATACTTTTTCTGCTCTCATTCGATTCTATACGCAAAACTGAGGTTATGAAATTTCTCAACATTTAAGCTAATATGATTTTTATGACACTTGTCAACCACTTCGGCGATACACGTTTGGACTTGGCTACCATCATAAATAGCGACAAAAAGTTCCTAAGAGAAAACAAGCGGCCATAAATTTTTTATTCTCTTAAGTCCTATATAAAAAAAGTAATGACACATGTACATACTTCCATAGACTTATCAATATCTAAGAAATTAGTCAGTGAATTTGAAATTTTCAATTGTGAATAACAGTGTCTTGAATGAGATGAGATATATGTAATACAACTGCCCTAAGGAGTGCTAGTACAATCAGTTGCATACCTGACTTACGGATACTTTCTTTTCTAGTTGTTAGAGAGTACTGATATTATGACATCTTCACCTTGACTTAATGATAGAGAAAACTTACAATGATCGACTAACTCAAAATAAATCATATGAAATTAAATTGACATCCTTCAGGTAGTGTGCAAATCTGTTTTTTGTCATTCATGAACACTTATTCTCGATCAGTAATATTTTATCATAATAGCATCTTAATCGTATTTTATTTGTGACAATGAACTTAAGCTAACCCAACCGCCTTGTTTTCGTATAGAAATGTGGGAAAATGAATTCGAATGTATTTACTGAACTATAGACGTGTTTTGTGCTACCCTCGCTGTCATACACAAAGCAGCATAATCGCTCGAAGTTTATATACAGGAACATCAAATCCTACTTTGTTTATCGGTTCAGTGAAATTGCACCTCAATGATTTATTTCTCTTGTTCACAAGATCAAAAAGAATATTAAACAAGTTCTTGGAAGGCCCCTGGCGACCCTTGGGCAAGGCCGAAACCGTATATTTACAGACGGTCGGAGAGGGGCCCAGCGAGTGTACACATTCACGTCATTTAACGTTAACATATTGTCAGATATCGAACTACTTGCAGACTTCCACGCATCATAGCGCTGGTCCCCCCCCATACTACGCTATCTTGCGCTATTGTTAAGAACATGTCTTCATTGTCACTACTTCAGTTCGATATCTGACAATATGTTAACGTTAAATGACGTGAATGTGTACACTCGCTCGGCTATAAAAATCATATTAGCTTAAATGTTGGCAAGCGTAAGTGGATATTGTTTTGAATATGCGTTCATTGTCGACCGTGTTCAATATTTCACTTCGAGAATTATTCCACAAAATTATCACGACAAAAGTAACACTCCACTAAATCAAAACGAGCTCCGCCCAAATGTAGAGCAAAACTTGTTTTATTTCTCTCACATGTTAAAACTCAAGCTTTAGCATGAAAAATCACTTCTCGCATCTACGAATCTCATTGATCAGTCTTCAGATCCCAACTAAAACTTTTCAAAGTCGTGCGATCATTTTTCAATATCTCGCTCTTTATCTTGTTTGTATTCGCCATTTTCTTTTGTGTTTTTTTGTTTCAAAATTGGTCAGTTCAGTTCAGTTCAGATCTATCCTTTCATACTAGTTGTAAAAAAATTATATTTTAATCAAAGACATGTTTTTAATCAAACTTGTTC